CCCCTGAGGAGCCCAGTCCCGAGCCTGGGGCGGGCCCGGCGTTGTGCGCGGAGCGGGGCGGAACCGAGCGGAACCCGCTGCGCTGGGCGGATGTTTGCAGCGAGTGCGTGCTCGGTGTCGCTCTTGAAATCTCACTGAAAGGGGCTTTTTTTTAATTATAAACCCGGTTCCTATTCTGTGCTGCATCTTACACTCTTTTTTTCTTCAGCTTTTGGAGCCTGCTTGTGAAGATGAGCCCGGCAGGAGAGCAGAGCCCTCCGAGAGAGCCGACATCCTCTCCCTAGCCGATGTACGAAAGAGCACGTACCGCTCCTGAAGCGTTTCCAGCTGTTCTCGGTTCACAAAAAACGCTGGCACTGTTTGACTTACTACTCGATGCTCCATCTCTGTATAGAATGTACTAAGATGTCAGCCTTCATGCAAATTTCTGCAGTTGCCTTGACGTTACTGTTACAGTGACCGTCTCTGAAAAGCCAGCCTCTGCCTGACATTTCTACTGTTGTTGTTCTTGTTGACAGAGGTTGTTGTCTTCTGGCAGTTTTATTACCGTGTTTACTCGCTCTTAGGACAGTTTGTTCTTTTTGAGAGGTCATTTTTCCATTCTGCTAAGTTAGTTTAAGTTTCTGAACCTGAATTGGACAAAAACATGCAGGACATAACAGGTTTAACTTGTCTTCTTGTAGGCTACTAAACTTATGATGTTACATGTAATAGCTGTAGCCCTGCCTAGTCCAGTGTCTGGTCTGCCTGCCAGGAAAGGTGTATTAAATCAACATGAGAGGAGACCTAGCCATGCTAAAATATAAATACGTGGCTACATAGTTGTGGGTTGTTTTGTTGGGAATTTTTATTTTTCCGTGGGTTAACTGATGCTATTTCTGTTTTGTAAGGACCTTCATTTACCTGTTGCTGTACCTGAAGTTCCCTCCTCACCAAGACATGAATTCCCTGCAGACTGGAGTATTAAAACACGACTTTTATTTACGTCTTCCCAACCTTTTACCTGGGCAGAACATTTAAAAGCACATGAGGAAGCTCAAGGATTTGCTCAGCATTGTAGAGCTACAGAAACAAACCTGCCACAGAGCATACAGGTAATACCCCAGACGGTAGCTCAGAGCTCCAGCTTTAGAAGGCAGAATGTACCTTTGCATCTTTCCTTAAATATGCTGGCAGTGAAGGTTTGATTGTGTCTTGTTCTGATCTTACTTGCATTAAGAATAAGGCTCATTTAGACAATATAATTCCATCCATGGCTTGTACCCACAGTGGCAAACAGTGATAAGCGAGTGGTTGTTTAACTTCAGCTGTGGAGCAGTTGCCAGTTGCTGCCCATCTTTCGTCAGTCTGGCTTATTCACAAGCCTGGGAATTTTTTTTTTAGTATTTAGTGTATTATTTTTTAACCCATTACTTGCAATGCTGCCTTAAGTAAAGTGTTACTGTCCTCATGAAACACTTTTTGATACCTAGGAACCAAAACTGTCCACAGAACTGCGTTGTGCCTTTCAGCAAAGCCTCGTTTACTGGCTTCACCCTTCACTGCCGTGGCTGCAGCTGTTCCCTCGGATTGGAGCAGATAGAAGAATAGCTGGAAAGGCCAGTCCTTGGTCACAGGATGAAGCCTTGCAACAAGTACTAATGAGTGACTGGTAAGTAGAACCAAACAATTGATGTCTTTAGTACCATTAAGACAATGGGATTTTAATTAATGCATAAGTTCTGTCCATTTGAATGAAAAAGCTTTTTGATTTTTTTTTTTCTCCCAGCTATAGAATGCTCATTATTTTGAGGACTAGGCTAGGGAAATAAGTTTAAAAGACTAAAGCTACTTTCTTTTTTAAAATGCCCCTCTCCAATCCTAGTTATTGATTTGGGTAGAATTCAGTCAGTCCTGTTAGCAAGTTGCCTTTGATGCTTCATGTAAACTCCACATGCTAGAAAGCAAGTATGGTGGAAGAGCACAGCCCTCACAGACAGGCTGCGTTTCAGAGGAGTGCAGCTTCCTAGATGTTGAGCATGTCTGAAAAATCTGACTAATCATTCACTGTGCTCTCAAACCTCTGCAGAGTACATGCACATCAGTAACACCCAGCCAAATCCAGTGTGAGGTGTCAATAGCAAAGAAGTAACTTCAGTTACAGGATTGTTTTATTCTCCTTTGCAGGTCTGTCAGCTTTACTTCTCTGTACAATCTGCTCAAAGCCAAACTGTGTCCCTACTTCTATGTATGTACCTACCAGTTTACTGTCCTGTTCCGTGCAGCTGGTCTTGCAGGAAGTGACGTTATCACAGCTGTAATTTCTCCCACAACCAGAGGTTTAAGGGAAGCCATGAGAAATGAAGGTAAGGTGAAACCAGTCCAACTAGGACTTGAATAACTGATAAAATACATTAGCTGTGTTACAAAACAATTCATTGCTGTCTTTTCTGTTCAAGGCATAGAGTTTTCTTTACCTTTGGTAGAAGAAAGTAGAACCAGAAAACAGAAAAACTCTGAAGTTAATTTGGAAGCAGAAGTTGCTAACAGCCTTGAAGTGGGCGACAGCACGGGAGATGGAGAGTATGTAATATCTTCTACAATGCTAGAATTCAGGTGCATCTACAGACTCCTGGATATTCCATTTGGAAAACCTTCATAGAAGTATTGGCCTCCTAACACTGATTCTGTGCTTTCCAGGGAACCAGCTCCAAGTGATGATGATGATGAAAGTTTCTCTTGGCTTGAGGAGATGGGAGTCCAAGACAAGGTTAAGAAACCAGGTGCTATTTCTATTAAACTGTATCCTTTTCTTGCACACCATGTCACTGGAAAACCCTGCAGGTGTTACCTTTTTGTGGTATAGATCTAAGTTTTATAAAAGCTTTTGAGAACTTATTTCCAAATATTAATCCTCACACTATGGCATATTAAGAGACCCTGCGTGTCTCTTTGAGTTTCTGTATGACAGGGAGTTCTAGATGCACCTTTTCTTGAAGGAAAAGCCATTGTGACTTGTTAATGGAACTTTGTAAGATCCATCTGTTAGATCACAAACTAATTGTGTCACCTCACATACAGGTTCACTGGAAATACTAGATTTTTGGGTGTATGTTCATGTAGGCTAGGTTTACACATGGAGTAATGTGGCAGAGTTGGGACATGGCTGTAGACCGGAACAGCTGTTGCTGAGAACCAGTATGTGTTTCAGAGGGACCAATTAACTTGGTCTCCCTCTAATTCCATTTGTACTTGCGCTGCCCAACGCAGCTTCTGCTGCCTTTCGCCCCAGAGGACTCTCGTTTCAGCTTCCCGAGACTGCCCCACAGCAATGCACTGTAACTGGGGACAGTCAGGGGACACACTTCTGAAGCAGAGTCCTGGTCTGAACTCTAAACGCTTATGTTCTTATGTTTGCTTCGAAGCAAAATTCACAGGAAAACTGGGAGTTGCTGACTTCATAGGTATTCAGTGAACGTGACTTGCCAGCTCTAAGACGCTGGACCTGGAAATTGCTTTTTATATATCTCACAAATTTAATAAATGAAATGAGAAGTCAGTTTTAAGATGCTGCTTAACATTTGAAGAACAAATCTGGATCAGTGTAAAGCTTGGTGGTTTTTTGTTTGTTTGTTTGTTTAAATGACTTGCCTGGTCAGAGGGGTGTGGGAGGGTTCTTCTGGAGCTGTACTGCTCTGGTTCTTCCTTTGGTGCATTGATGCTTGTCACTTCTTTATGGTTTTCCTTTGACTCCAGTCAATACAGCCGTAAGGAGAAGCATGAGGTGCAGATGGATCACAAACCTGAATCCCTTGCATTAGTGAAAGGAACAAACACATTCACCTTGCTGAACTTCTTGATAAACTGTAAGAGCCTAGTGGCTGTTGCGGGCCCACAAGCAGGGCTTCCACCAACTTTGTTGTCCCCTGTTGCTTTCCGAGGTGGAACAATGCAGACACTCAAAGTGAGTAACACAACTGTCTTTGTTTTCCAATGAAGAAAATAAAATTGTTTATTTAAGAAGAAGTTCTTTCCTGTGAGGGTGGTCAGACACTGGCACAGGTTGCCCAGAGAAGCTGTGGCTGCCCCCTCCCTGGAAGTGTTCCAGGCCAGGCTGGATGAGGCTTTGAGCAACCTGGTCTAGTGGAAGGTGTCCCCGCTGATGGCAGGGGGGTTGGAACTGGATGATCTTTAAGGTCCCTTCCAACCCAAACCATTCTATGATTCATGCAGAAGATCAGACATTGACTTTGTATACAGTCTCCTTCAGGTACAGCAGAGTAGTTTGTGTTGCTATAGCCCGAGTTAGCATTAATCTGCAGTACAGACTGCCTCCTCAGTCATCTCCATCCATGCAGATCTGTGCTGCTAAACTGAAATCCCTCCCTGTGCTTCCGTTCTGCAACACCCAATACATCATAAGATACTAAATGGTTCTTGAAAGACTCTGCTGAGACCTTACAGTGCCTCAGACTATCACTGTAGCTCATGATCTGTTACTGGAAGTGGTGGGTACTAAAGGACATGCTATTGCTACAGGTAGTGCGGCCCTCTTCCACCAGAGTAGGTCACACTGTTGTTCTGCAGTTAACTGTCTTCATACTGCGTAGCATTCCTGTGTGTTGTAGCTGGTATGTTTTGAGGACATGTTACAAAGACAGTAAAACCATCACAACACTCCTGTAGTGAACAGCGAGTTGACAATTAAGTGTTTTGAATTTTTAATGGCACTGCAGTATTAAAGGAGATGAAAATTATGACTTTATCTGGTGTGTCAAAAACTAATCCTCTGTGCTCTTGTCTTCAGGCTCGAAGTATAAATGCCAAAGCCAGGGTTCACTTGGCATATGAGGATGTCTTCAGCTTGGAGATCGTAGGCCCCGTCATGCCTCATTCCCTGCATTCGCTGGCCACGCTGCTCAGGTCGGCGCAGAGGGGAGCGTTCTCGGCTGTGTTATATACACACGAGCCCACTGCTGTCTTTAACACTCATGTTGGCAATGCAAGCCCTGCCTTAAATAAGGTAAGGAAATGAGAAGAGACAGTCTTTCCTGTTAGGAATAGTATATTTATTACAAATGATAGGACACTGAGTGACACAAAACTTTCCCTTAGTACGTGGGTTTACACCCGATTACTGGTGATCACCATCTGGCAGTCCTTGCAGCTTGTCCTTCCCTCAGATATTGAGTGATCTGAACACGAGCTTTTCAGGAGTGCCCCAGAGGGACACAAGTGAACAGTAAAAACTGCAGGTATCTCAAATACCTTTTCTGTGCCTCTCTCCTCTTCATGTAAATTTCCACAGGAAACCATATGTAAAGGTCTTCCTACGTGTGGACTGCATCCTAAGACTTTGGATCAACTGAGTCAGTGTCCAGTACTGGGAAAATCTTCCATCCGCTTTCTGGAGCTGAAGGATTATGCTTACACCTGGAAGTCCTAGGTCTGCCAGCTCCCCAGGGAATGGAGACTGCGCAGGTGCTGTACTTCATTTGGGGCTACGCGGGCAGCACCTGTGCAGTACTGGGAGGGAATTGATCTAGTTGAACATCACAGACAACTATTGCACATCACCCATCATAAAACACTTCAAAGGACTTTTGAAGGAAAAGGCCTTGGACATCTCCTTCTGTATTTTAGAAAGCCTTTTTAAAATAAAATTATCTATTTTATTAGTCTGAATTGCAGGTGGAAGGTCTGTATTCTTCATGCACCTGCAGATTCTATTCTGAGTACAGACTTTCTGCTACTGCTCTGTGCACTAACTCATAACCATTTTGCAGGGGTGGAGTTCTTGGCAAAACCTCTTCCAAGACTGCTTACAGCACCTTGCCAGGAGCTCGATAACTACACCTGATATGTTACACCTCATGGTTTAGAGTCAGCTCTGAACTCCGCCAAGACAGAGCACATAGCTCTTTCTGGCTGCAGCAGAACCAGATTACAAGGCTAAGATTCCTCAGAACTCTTTGGCAGAGCTCTCCTATTCCCACACCCTCTTACATTAAAATGAGCCAGACCTGTAAGAAGCAATTTGTACAAACAGTAACTTTGGAAGAAGCTGCAGCAGTAACGCAGCGGTGCCGTGTGCTCACAGCACTAGCAGGGGCTGTTCCCAGGTTTAATGCACTCTGTTTCACTGCAGGTAGTCAGAGCTGTTCTTGTGCAGACACAGATGTCACTTTTTACACAGCTGATTCCTGCAGCAGAGCACACAAACTCTGAAGAGCAGGATGTAGAATACCATCATCCCTGTGCGCTCCAGCCAGCTTTCCCATGCAGCTGGGCACAGAAAATATCGCAATGCTCATGCCCTGTGGTCAGCTACCCTCAGCTTTAGCACAGTGCCATGCTGCTCACCCCCTGAGAAGCTGCGATTCTGAAACCCTAATGTCAGCATGGAGCCAGGCCTCACTTGAGGAAAGAACCTATAAGCTTGTAAATGTGAGTATTACAGTTACTGCAGACTCAGGCATGATGAAAGCTTCCAGTGACTTTACATGGACACCACGTGAAGCACCCTGCCCCAAGAACACACACAAGGTGTATATAGTTACACTGGAATACTTTTACGTTTACATTTACTTTACAGTTACTAGCGTGACAGTGTCAGCCTGGTAGTGCACTGAACAAGAGAACACCTAGAAAACCTAGATGAAGGGAAAGCCCCTCTTACGACGGAAAAAGGCACCTTAGACTATTAAATACTCTGATAATGTTAAATACTCTGTTTCTGGTGGAGTTCAGGGTAGTACAATCCAACTTTAATTAATCTTTACACTTCTCCCTAACTAACTCAGAAGCAAATTACTTAACTTTTCAAAAGCTTTTGATGAGTATCAGACACCAAGCATGAAAATCCAGTGCTAACAGCACTGGGGAGATCAGCAGAAGAGTGGGTTTCTGAAGTGGCTGGTATGTTAACTACACTTTCATTTCCAGTTGCTTTTTAAGACAGTAACAGGGAACTCGGTGCCTCCATCAGTCACAGCCTCTGCTACAGGGCTTGGCAGCCTGTGAACGAACCTTAGCCCAGCACCACAGGGGTCATCAACAGCAATTTTAATCAGGCCAATAACCAGTCTAGTATGTGGACTTAAGCGTATCTGTTTCTAGGAAATACACTCATTACTATAAATTTCAGTTTGTATTTTCACCTCTACCATGTTGAAAGTTATGGACAGAAACTAATGCCAATTAATAGCTCACAGTAGTTTAAAAAAATTTAATTGCAGTTACAATCTCGTAGTCTAGAACTGTGTAATTTCAAAAATTCTTTATCACAGCAAAGAATTAGCTGTAGCTTCTTCTTGTACTGTGAACTGTCTGTTGGTTTTAAGGCACAGCTTGGCCAGTAAGTTGCTTAGAGCTCTGGGATCCAGTGGTGTTCTTGAAGCATCAGTGGATCCAGTGAACCTTCCCTATGAGCTACCCAGACTACCCAGTCTGCTGCTCTTCCACCTAAGGGTGTTTTCAGTAAATATTATCATTATTCCAGACACCTGTAGAGCATTAGATTTATTTATCTAACCTGTCCAAATGGGTGAATTTTCATCACAACTATTTGTTTGGGAGCACGAGAGACTGTAGCAGGTGATTAAGACTTCATAGTTTTTGCACTTTTGAATTTTCCAAGGAACTTCACCTTCCTGCTTCTCTCTTCACCTTCCTAACTATTTAAAAACCACAAATTAGAAGACTGCCAAGAAATGGTTCCGGTGGAGTCTGGTTACAGGTTCTCGGGCACCTGGTTTGGAAGTCTGAAGCACTTCCAGCAAGGTTACTTCTGGAAAAATAATTCTGCAGCAAAAGGAAACCCAACAGCCAAGCAGATCACGTCTTCCATCAGCAGGAGTCACAGACTGTTCACCTTCAAGACAGCTAAAGTGCTGCATAAATAACCAGGTTCCAAGAGTGAGTTTCCTAGTTGTTCTTTTTAATATACCACTACTTATCTATTCCTGCATGCAGAGGAGACACTCAAACCAAGTCAAATTTACAAACTTAACAGAAGCACATTGCTGCACTAGCTTTAGATTCATAGATCATTCTAAACAACAAGGAATGAAACAAACACAAACCTCAATACCAAAAAGTGTCAGAATTAGGGCATTACAGACCTTAATTATTTTCTTTTTTGTAAGTCTTCCTTACAGACCAAAGATTAAATCCACATATAATATCACATCTTTTAAGGCATGAAATAAAAATCTTGCCTAAATAGTTATTTTTTAAACGGAGTCTTCAATGGGACTGAATTCATCTGCTCCTTGTTGCCGTGAGATTAACTTGTATCTTTACATAATACATGGAGAATATAGAGCAAAAAAGAACAAAACAACAATTACAGGAGACTGCATGTTCCCAGATTTGCTACTGCACAGCTATGAAACCTGTGCTTACACGGACACAACAGACTGAACAGAACGATCAACACCTCTGATGCTTTAGCTCTATCAAAGCAGATGTTTAAACCAAAGTCTGATTAGGAGCTGCTCATTAGTTACCTGAAGTCATACATCAAAGAGCCAGACTTCAGCTAAGACAGATTCAACACCCAGTTCACCCAGAGTAGATCTTTCCGTTGCTGTACCATCATATTTACTTGTGGTTTTTATGCACACCTTCCAACTACTTCAGCAAAGGAGGCAAGGAAATCTTCAAATATTTAGTCAGAGACTGAAGGCGAGAAGCCAAAGGGAAAGAAGTTTAATTAAAGACAACTATGTCCATGAAAATTAAGATAAACTTAGGCATTTCTAGAGCACTTTGACAGACTAATAAGGGGCTTTATTTCTGGCAAGGGTGTGGCGGAGAACCAAATACCATTATTTCTCTGCTGTACACCACATGAGACATTGATCCTTGTCCCTTTAGAGCAAAGACAAACACCTTGTTCCATAACAGTTGACAGAATACACACGAGTCACCTTACTTTGCAGAAGAGGTACTAGTAATTCTTCACCTCCACGCTCCTGCTACCACTGCAAAGGTCACTGACTTGAGGCCTGAGCACAGCCTCACTGTGTGCAAACTGCATTTTGTTCCTGTCCCAGACGAAGCTCTGGGCAGTAGGTGTAATACAAAGAGACGGCACAGACTTCTGAAATAAGCACCTGAACTGCTCAAGTCCATAGATCCTGGCAATCTGCTCGTAACTCGGACAAATCTGGCAAGAGGTGTACAATGCCCTTTCCGATTCAAAGTGCACACATATAAAGTATTAATACTTCTTAAATTATTTAAAAAAGAAAAAAAAAGAAAATAAGGAAAAGCTTTCTACAGCCTCTCCCTTGTCAAACTGCCAAAACTCTGGATCAGGCTGTCTCCTTGAGGACAAAGTACCGTTACAGAAAATTTAAGCCCAAGGAGTTAATTTGGTAATAGTCCAAAGTAACCAAAAATGACTAGAACTGATTCTGCAACCCTTCATGAAGCCTACTTTTATACTGTGTGTTTCTTCAGAAAGTTGTTTTGGCATACATTTTAATTACTGTTTACTGACCAGTGATTAAGATAATGAACTTGTGCTGCTTTATTGACCAAGTTGGGTACAACAATTTAAGCATCATTCTATCCCCTCCCTCCCCCCCCCAAATCCAGTTGTAGATTTGTTAATTCACATTAACCACAAATTCATACAATCAACATCAGGCAGTGTGTTAATTTGTTTGGAATAGACAACTCCACCATCTCCCTTCTCAGAACATGCAGGGAGAGTCACTTTTACATGGCAAGTCTCATCGGTTCCATCGCTGGACCTTCTGCTATCCCTTTGCAAGCAAGTCTCTTTGCCTAATCACGTGTGTCCTAGAGCGTGGGCTGCAGGGCCAGTCGCAGTGCGCCACCCAGATAAACCCCCACACAGAATCCCACGGGAAGCCGCGGCGTCAGCACTGTACAACAGGGCTGCCACCGCCCGCCTCCTCACAGGGGTGACGGTACTGGCCCAGTATCTGTCCAGCAGTACACGCCAGCCTCGACCAGACCAAGGTTAAGCTGCACGACCTTTTACCAGCTGTGGGCAAAAGTGCACGAGTAGCTTTACCGAGACCAGGGAAAACTGCAGCAGAGTACAAAACAGTATGAAAGTGTTAACATTCCGTACTGAAGAGAAATTGCATGAGCTTTAAAACAAGGGTTTAGATTACTGATGCCTCCAGAGTCTGTCGTCTGATTTAGTCATTTAAGAAATAATTACATCACTAATGTAAACAATATAAACATACCAAAAACTAAGTATGATTTAAATACATTTTGATGGTACAAAAGAAAAACCTGAAGGTGTCTGTACAGTTTTTTTACAATGTGGGAATTGCCAATGTATTTACAACATGAAAGGGCAAATACCATTTTTGTGCAGAGTAAAATTATCTGAAATAATGTCAATATAAAAAACAATATCTAGCGGTGTGAGGCACTCCTAAACATGGTGGTATTAAC